CCCACTCAAGCCCCGCCCATCAATCTGTTCCACAGAGGGCCCTCCCCTCAGTCACATCCCTCTGATCAGGGTCCCCCTCTTGTCCCCAAACCCACCTCAGCTGAGCCCCGCCCAGTTGAGCTCCCTGCCAGTTCCCGGGACCACACTTCACCTCCTAACCTCTCCATCTCTGCAGTAGAGTCCAGCTCCGCAGAGCCTGGCCTCAGGGCTGCCCGGAGCCCCACCTCACCAAGCCTCCCAACACACCACCCCCAGATCCCAACCTATTCCATTGAGCCAACCCCCACGAGCTCCACCCTTGTGAGCACCTGCCAGCAGCATCCCACACTGGGCCTCCCCAAGGCCACCGCTCTAGGTCTAGACCCACCAAGCATCAGCCAAAAGGCCCAAGCATCAGCCTTTTCCTAAAACCTCGAGCATGATTCCTTTATCGTTTGAATTTTCTCTTTATATTTGTGTGTGTGTGTGTGTGTGTGTGTGTGTGTGTGTGTGTGTGTATACCATGCCACATATGTGTGAATGCCTTTGGAGGCCAGAAGAGGGCAGTGGATACCCTGGAGCTGGAATTAGAGGAGGTTGTGAGCCACCCAATGCAGGTTAACCTGAGTGTGGGGAACAGACATTAGGTCCTCTGGGAGAGCAGGAAGTGCCCTTATCCACTGAGACATGGCTCCAGTCCCCTTCTCCCAGGTTCTACCAATCAGCTCTGCCAAAGCTCTCCAAATCCTGCCCTGTGGGTGGAGTTTTTCGTTGGGGTGCCTGCTCCCCACACAGAGACTTATTATTAATTGTTAACGCTCAGCCAATAGCTTAGGCTTGTTACTAACTAGCCCTTACACCTTAAATTAACCCGATTTCTTTAACCCATATTTCTTATCTATGCTTTGCCATGTGGTGGTACCTTTTTTCAGTAGGGCATTTTCATCTTGCTTCTCTCTGTATCTCCTTTGGATTCTGCCCTTCCCCCCACCCTTTTCCCTCTCCACAAGTCCTGCCTAACCTCTTTCTGCCCAGCTATTGGCCACTTAGCTCTTTATTAAACCAATGAGAGCAGCACATATTCACAGTGTACAAAAGATTGTTCCACAACACTGCCCTTCCTCCCTCGTCTTAAACATGAAAATTCTTTTTCTCCTTTCTGAGACATGGTCTTGTGTAACCTGGGCAGGCGTCAGACTTGCTACACTGCTGAGGCTGAGGGTGAACTCTTTGTCCTCTTGCCTGCACACATCCTGCAGGCTCCACCCCTCCCAGCTCCTGTGGAAATTGTTGCAGCCTGTTCTAAGGCCCCCAAGATGCCGCAGAAAAGTGCCTGGAACTGGAAAGAGGCCTTCATACTGTGGCCTGCTCTTTGGGGCAGGCTTCTCTCTGCTCAGAGACTTGTGTGTCCTGAGATTCTCCAGGCTCTTCTCTGTTCTTTCTCGGTGAACTAGAATTTAACACAGTTCGCTGCCTCCTCTTCATGGCTGCTTAAATTCTGCCTCTGATTGCTTGCTAAAAATAGCCAGAGATTGCAGTTCCCTGCCCTCTAAGTCCTTCTTGGGAGGTTGAAATCCCAGTTGCTGGACAGAAAGGCCTCAGCTTGTTGAGCCATCACAGGGCTTGGCAGAGAGAGAAACTCTCAAAACCCAGTTTCTGCACTTCTCTGGTTAAGAAGGACTTTTTACTTTTTGCTCCTACTCATTTATTGTGTGTGTGTATTTATGTGTTTATATGTTTATTCGTGTGGGCATAAGTGGCACACACTCTGCATGTGTGAAGGTCAGAGGACAGCTTGTTGGGAGCCTGCTCTGTCCTCGAATGTCGGCTCTATGTATCAAACTTAGTCATCTAGCTTGGTGGCAAGCACCTCTATCCACCAGCCATCTTGCTGGCCCTTGTCTGCCTCTTCCTAAATGTTCTTCCTAGATCAAGTCTCATGCCGTTGGCTGCACTCAGGGCCTCCCCATCTCCAGTCCCATCAGCCACAGGCCACCTACTGGCATTCTCTATGTGCCAGCCTTTGTGGTGATATATTGCTTATGATTTAATAAAGCTTGCCTGAAGGATCGGAGTACAAAGCCAGCCACACTAGTTAGCCATAGAAGCTGGGCAGTGGTGGTGCACACATCTAATCCCAGTATTCAGGAGACCAAGGCAGATGGATCTCTGTGAGTTCAAGGCCACTCAGGGCTACATAGAGTGAATCAGGCTTAAAAAGTAACAGAGCTTATACCTTTAATCCCAGCACTAGAGAGGCAAATAAGGAAGAAACAAAGGGTCTCATGTGAGATTCAGTTTCCAGTCAAGGAAGACAGGAGCTCCATTTCAGCCTTGGTGGAGGTAAGAGCTAGTGGCTTGCTGTTTTGCTTCTCTGATCTTCAGCTTGAACCCCGGTATCTTTCTCTGGCTTTACATTATTCATGCTACAAGCCTTGACGTCTGTGAGCCTGCCCTCCTCTCTACCCACCCCCTCTCTACATGAAAATCACAATTGTATCTGATGACTTGCCTCAAATTTAGGGGCATTCTGGTACAGATGGATGCTACCTTGCCTAACATTCTCAAGAATTTGATGTGTCTCACATATTCTGTCTGTCTGTCTGTCTCTCTCTCTCTTTAACTCTAACCACGGTCCCTGCCTTGGAGTGTTCCTTTGGTAGACTGAGAGAGCCCTTATATGCATCCATGAAGGGGACCTTTCTCTGCCAGATTGTGCCAGGGTTCGGTCTACATGGGGACCTCAGGTTGTTGGCATGTGTCCCTACAGGGAGGGTGATTTGTCACTGTCTGCCTGTGTTGGTTACTGTTCTAGTTTGTACTGTGTCAAAATGCCCGACAGAACTAACTTAAGGAAGGCTTATTAGGCTCACAGTTTGAGGGTGGAGTCTGTCATGGAGGGGAAGTCAAGGCATCAGTGCATGAGGTGGCCGGTCACATGGTGTCTGCAGTCAGGAAGCAGAGAGAGATGCATGCTGGAGCTCAGCTTCTCTGTTTGAGGTCTGGGACCCCAGGCTATAGGATGGTGTTTACCCACAGTGGGCAGGTAATCCCAGGTAAAGAAGATAATTCCTCTCCAGCATGCTGAGGGGCTTGTCTCCTCTGTGTTTCTGGTTCTAGATTCCATCAGGTCGATGATGGAGACTTAATCACACTGCTTCCCCAGGCCCCCCCCCGTGGCACACTTGTCCTATTTGAGATCACCTGTGTTCCTGGTAGTACTGATTAGGTGGCCACCTCTAAACCCAGGGCTCTGGACCTTGCAGCTCCTGCAGACTCTGAATGAACTGATTGTCACCGACCTGATCCCTGGAAAGAGTGCCTGCTTATAGGGAGTGTTTCACAGATATTTGTGGAGTAGATGAGTCAGAGAGAGGGATCAGCAGGCCCTGAGAACAGAGGCAGAAGGTTCTCTGAGAGATCTGGAATCATTAGTGTTTGTCAGGGTTACAGCAGAAAGGTGACATGAGGAAGATTTATCAAGGCAGTTGTTTGTAGAAGTGTGTGTAGGTGCAGGGCCACACAGGGATGTTCTAATCCCCCAGCCCTTGGCCGGAAGCAGCAAGGCAGTGAACAGTTACTAGAAGTTGGGAGGAGTGACCACATAGAGAAGGCCATCTTGACAGGATCTGTGACCTTCAGTTTGAGAACATATGCAGTCAGGGGTGACTGTAGAGAAAGAACCAGAAGATGGAATCGACTATAGCCCTCCCTTTTAGCTGTTCACTGGACACCTTCATGGGTGTTCTGTATAGAAGCCAGAGAGCCCGGAGACTGCTGTAAATGCCACAGAGGTCATCCTCTTGGGGCCTAGATGGTGGGGACAATGGGGAATAAACGAGGAAAGGCATAATGAAGCCATCACATTCTCACCCTCTGGGAACAAAGGCTGGCCTGGGTCTTGATAGGCCTTGGAAAGTCATTGACCTCTTTTTTTTTTTTTTAAAGATTTTATTTATTTATTATGTATACAACATTCTGCTTCCATTTATATCTGCACACCAGAAGAGGGCACCAGGTCTCATAAGGGATGGTTGTGAGCCACCATGTGGTTGCTGGGAATTGAACTCAGGACCTCTGGAAGAGCAGTCGGTGCTCTTAACCTCTGAGCCATCTCTCCAGCCCCGTCATTGACCTCTTAACTGGAAGTGTTATTTAGGTAAAGAAGGAACCAAAGGGCTCCCTGAAGAAGCTAGCACTGTAGCTCAGCTGGCAGAGTATTTGCCTGGCTCGAAGCAGTCCTGGGTTTGAGCCCCGTCAACACATAAAGCTGGGTGCATCCATGGATGCCTATGATCCCAGCACTTGGGGAGGTAAAGGCAGGAGGTCAGAAGTTCAAGGTCATCCTCAGCCTTGAGGCCAGCCTGAGCTGCATAAGACTGGGTCAGGAGAAAGGAAGGAAGGACAGGGACAGAGAGGGTCAGGAAGGAAGAAAGGGAAGTCCCTGAAACGAAGCTCTCAGTTCTAAAACTCAAGGCTCAGCGTGTGTCTGAACTGTTACCCCCTCACCGTGCACTCAGGCCAATGACCTCCCGAAGGCCATCGCTGCGGCTCATACCTATCTGCTGAAGCATCCCGACGATGAAATGATGAAGAGAAACATGGCATATTACAAGAGCTTGCCTGGAGCTGAGGACCACATTAAAGACCTGGAAACCAAGTCATATGAGGTACTCTTTGGCGCCACCCCACAGTTGGTGAAGCAGGGTGTGTTGAGGAAGCATGTCTCTGGGAGCAGCTAGCATCTTTTTATATTTACTTACGTTCTAATTAGAAGAGGGTGTGTGTGTGTGTGTGTGTGTGTGTGTGTGTGTGTGTGGTGTGTCTGATATGTATATGTGTGTATATTTGTGTGTGTGTGGTGTGTCTGATATATATGTGTGTGGTGTGTCTGACGTATGTGTGTATATTTGTGTGTATGGTATGTGTGTTTATCTGGTGTGTGTGTGTGTGTGGTGTGTCTGATATGTATGTATGTATTTGTGTGTGTGGTATGTGTGTCTTATCTGGTGTGTGTGTGTGGTGTGTCTTATATGTATGTGTGTATATTTGTGTGTGTGGTATGTGTGTCTGTCTGGTGTGTGTGTATGTGGTATGTGTGTCTATCTGGTGTGTGTGTGTGTGGTATGTCTTATATGTATGTGTGTGTATTTGTGTGTGTGGTATGTATGTCTGTCTGGTGTGTGTGTGTGTGTGTGTGTGTGTGTGAGAGACCCAGCGCTTATGTGGAGGTCAGAGGACAATGTGTATTTCCCTTCTGTGACCATGCGGGTCTGGGGATGGAACTCAGGTCCTCAGGCTTGGTGGCGAGTGTCTTTATCCACTGAGCCATCTTTCTGGCCCAGATGCTGACATCTAAAGATGCTTGTGATGTTTTCATTGATATTGCTGAATTGTGACAGTAGGAAACCTGCCGAGCACAGCATTTCCATGAAGGAAAAGCAGCAAATTGGGCGTGGTGGCTTTTGCCTGTAATCACAGCATTTGGGAGGCTGAGGCATTGATGGTTGCTACAAGTTCAAAGCCAGGCTGGGCTACGTGCACCACCGGGCACTTTTATCTAACCGTTGGTAAACTTTGCATCATACAGTGACCTGTGACAACTTCACATGTCACATGACAGCTGCTAAGAACACGGTGAGGAGTTTCTTCATCACCCAGCCTGACAAGTTCTTTCCTGCCTCTTTTCATTCACCCAGCCCCTGACTCCTGGGAACCAGTGATCTGATTTCTTTGACTTTTTCCTTGGTCTGAATTTGATTTTGAAATACTTGCTATATTTTGAGTTGAACTAAAGGAGAAATATAGTCATTTGGGCCAGGGGTATAGCTCAGTTGGTAGAGTGCTTGCCTAGCTGCACAAGGCCCTGAGCTTAGTTCCCAATGTTGTATAAAACAGGCTATGGTGGTACAGGCCTGTGATTTCAGAAGTTCAAGGTTGGGCTGGCAAGATGGCTCATGAGGTAAGGGTTTTTGCTGCCAAGCCTAGGGATCTACCTGAGTTTGATCCCCAAGTCTCACAGGGTGGTAGGAGAGAACAGACTCCATGGGTCCACACTAAGTAGACTGTAAAAATACATTTTTAAAAAGGGGTCAAGGTCATTCTCAGATACTCAGGGAGTTTGAAGTCAGCTTGGACTACACTAGATTCTGTTTTTTAAAGAATGCACCGCTTGTGAGCAGTGTAGGCAAATCTACACACACATGTGCGTTGCTTGGTTTGCATGGAGTCAAGGGTCATCCAGGATTGCCGAAGCATGGCTTCGTCAGGGTCATGGTTCTTTGGGGGGGTTGGAGGATGGACAAGCGTGTCTCCTGCTTGCCAGGAGGGAGCTTCACAGCATCTCCTTGTTTTCCAGAACCTGTTTGTCCGTGCAGTGCGGGCCTACAATGGTGAGAACTGGAGGACGTCCGTTATGGACATGGAACTGGCCCTCCCTGACTTCTTCAAAGCCTTTTATGAATGCCTGGCTTCCTGCGAGGGCTCCAGGGAGATTAAGGACTTCAAGGACTTCTACCTGTCCATAGCAGGTCAGTGGTGGTTGGGGCCTGTGCTCCAGATGCCTCGATTGGCATCTGAGGAACACTTTTCTCTTTTTTCTTTCTTTTGGTTTTTCGAGACAGGGTTTCTCTGTGGCTTTGGAGGCTGTCCTGGAACTAGCTCTTGTAGACCAGGCTGGCCTTGAACTCACAGAGATCCGCCTGCCTCTGCCTCCCGAGTGCTGGGAGTAAAGGCGTGCGCCACCAACGCCCGGCTTCACTTTTCTCTTTTTTCAAGGTATGCTCATTATTTGTTACCCTTAAAGACTTAGAGAAGACCCTCTCAGCGAGGACAGCCTACGTCTCTTGGTAATCCGTTCCTGGCGCTTTTCTTTGGCTTCCTTCATTCTCTTAGTCAAAAGTTTAGCCTGTTCTGCAGGCTCCTCCTGTTTTTCTTAGTACGTTGTTTCTTCAGAGCAGTATGTCGGTGTTTGTGTTACAGGCCATGTGGAGTAACAAGATGCTGAATCTTGGGTGCTTTGGTCCTGGGCTTCTGACCTTCTTTGAGCGCTTTCTGACAAAGAACGGTGGACATCATCTTCCTTAGAGAGATTAAAAAGCTTTCAGATTCTGCTAGCTCTTTTAGGTCCCAACTGATGAGGCACAGTAGTTAGTGTCTGTCAGTCCGGGAACATCCTTCTCAGGCCGAAGAGATGGCTCAGCTGTTAACGGCTAGGCTCATAACCAAAAATATAGGAATATCCTTCTCTCCTTTTTTTAATTTTATTTTTTTACAGTAACTAAGTTAAGAACACTCAGATTGGCATCCACAATGCATCCGTTAACAGACCTGGGCTTCCTCTATAGTTCTCCTTGGTCTATAACAAGAATGCCCCTTACTCAATTGCAGGCACACTCTGCCTTGGTCAAAACACTTTGCTTCATGGGAAAACCTTGTCTGTCATTCCCACCAATGATTCAGACAACATAATCTTCCACTCTCACCAGAGCATGAGCAGCTACTTCTGTGGCCATATGTGTCTCATAGAACATACAAAGCTTGTGTTCATCGTCCATTCAGTGAATTTCTAACAGCCAGTGGCAGGGAAGGAGATATTCAGCTTTATCTTGACATGACCTAGAGCAAGGAACACTTTTTTTAAGATAGGAAAGAAATTTGTTTTTTCTTTTTTTTTCCATTTTTTTTTAGAACAACTCAGCAAAATAAAAATCTGGTTTATTGTTGGACATTGTTTCACACATATATCAAACAGGCCAAAAAAATAAATAAATAAAACAGTAACTTTATAAACAAAAAAAAAAGGAAGGGAAAAAAGAAACCTTTTATCTTTGGTCTTTTTAACCATCTCATACAAACCAACTACTAGGTACATACACAAAAAAAGTTACTGGAATGCTCAGAGTAAGGTTTTTTTTTTTTGTTTTTTTTTTTCTCCTTGAGATTATAATAATCATGGTCTCACCACAAGTAAGGTCAGAAGTAGGACAGAGAACGCTCTGAAGGCTGGTTTAGTCTCCTGTTATCATTAAAAATGGCTGACCCCCTAACAATATGTACAAAAATATAAAATGTAAATAAAAAATGCAATTTTCCTTTTAAAGTATTTTTAAGAAAAAAAGCAGGGCCTTGGAAGTTTTGGTCCTTTTTTCTCCCCTGTTGCAATTTCAGGCTGTGGCTTTGGTGGGGTGGTGGAGAGCGCATGTCATCTGTGGGTGACACTGCCCATAGCAGTGGAGCGGGCGGGGCCAGCTCCTGGACCAAGGTGACCAAGTGTAAATTCTGAGACAGGAAGGAGGGTGTAAAGGTCCCGGTGGCCTTAAGTTATCTTTTCCTTTCTGCTGTTGAGTCATCCTTATCCTCACCGGCCACGCTTGCCCATCGGCGCCTCAGCTTCTCCATCTCCTCCTCCTCCTCCTCTTCCTCCTTTCTCCTCCTCCTCCTCCTCCTCCTCCTCCCCCCTCCTCCCCCCTCCTCCTCCTTTCTCCTTCTTTGGCTTTTTGAGATAGGGTTTCTCTGTGTAGCCCTGACTATCCTGGAACTCACTCTGTAGGCCAGGATGGCCTTGAACTCAGAGATCTGTCTGCCTCTAACTCCTGAGTACTGGGATCAAAGGCGTGCACCACCATGCCTGGCTTTCTCTAATTTTTTCCAAGTCTACACATTTGATAATGTCATGCTGCTGCTGGGTATTTTTTCTTTGTTGATATCTGAACACAGTATTTCCTCCGCCTTGTTTTCCATCCCCAATATTCCTTCTTCTGAAGTCACTGGCAATGATTTTATTGTGTTTTCTTTTTCTTTTTCTTTTTTTAGCTTATATATATATATATATATATATATATATATTTATATAAAAAGAGCAATAATGGCAATATATTATGTATCAATAGCAGCAACAGCTTTTCCAGGTTCTGTAGTCCTTTGAACAAAATTGTAGAGACATCCAGCACACTCCATTTTTAAAAAAACAAAAAACAAACAACAACAACAAAAAAGTAAAAAACAAAATTCCAGAAGACAGCACAGTTCTGTTACTCTTGTGGTACTTGGCACCATTTTTTTTTTTTAAATTAGTTTCTCAGTCATGATTTCACTGTGTTTTCAATTCATTGAATTGTTAATATTTCTGCTCTCCCCATTTCCATTTCCTTGTGAATTTCTCATCCATGTTGCTGCCTTTCTTTCTACATTACCAACTTTCTTTCTTTCCTTCCTTTACTTTTTTTGCTTGTTTTTTGAGATAGGGTTTCTTTGTGTAGCTTTGGAATCTGCCCTGGAACTCACTTTGTAGACCAGGCTGGCCTCGAACTCACAGAGATCCACCTGCCTCTGCCTCCTGAGTGCTGGGATTAAAGGTGTGCGCCACCAATGTCCAGCTTGAAACTTCTTTAAACAGAGTTCTAAGATGTTTTTCCATTTATTTATTTAATGTGTGTGTGTGCCGTGGCACATGTGTGAAGGTCAGAGGATGGTTTGTGGGAGTCAGTTTCTCCGTCCACTATGTGGGTCTGGGGATACAACTCACCGAGTCAGGGTAGCTGCAGCACCTTTACCAGTGTTGAGCTGTCTCCCTGGTTCTTCTTTGTTTTTTTTATTTATTTGTTTGTTTAGTGTGTGTGTGTGTGTGTGTGTGTGTGTGTGTGTGTGTGTGTGTGTGTCTGTGTGTCTCTGTGTGTGTGTGTGCCTGCACACATGTGCCACAGTGTGCACAGAGATGTCAGAGGACAATGTATGGGTCAGTTCCCTGGTTTGCCATGTGGGTTCCGGGGATCAAACTCAGGCCATCAGGCTTTCCACAAGTCCCTTACCCAGTGAATCATCTTGCTGACTTGTAAACACAATTAAAAAAAAAAAAAAGTTTCTGGCTGCCATCCTCGACATCTCCCGAGGCTGCCGCCACCACCAGCAGGCTCCACATCTGAACGTTACACCGTTGGTGCCATCAACAGTACTTTTAAAACATTTAGGCCAATTACTTTGTAACTATTTCTCATTTGGGCTGGGCACTGTGGTGCCCACCTTTAATCCCAGCAGTGGGGAGGCAGAGGCAGGAGGATCTCTGTGACTTCCAGGACAACCAGAGCTATAGAGTGAGACCCTTTCTCAAAAAAACCAACAAATAGACAAGGTTATTTGGTTTCTGACAGTTATGTTGGGAGTGTCCACTTTTGGCTGGAACAGTAGAATAGCCTCAGAATGTAACACCCAGACAAGTGTGATGTCTCTTACTCTCTTATAGAAGGTGCTATTTATTTTATCTTATTTTTTTATCGCAGTGCTAAGGATTGAGTCTAGGGCCTCACATATGCTACATAAATGTTCAGCCCCTATGCTCTGCCCCTAGAACAGAGCTATTCATTTTTAATCATTTAGTTCAAGTGTTCTCTGTGTCTGCTGTAGCAGGGTTGGTCTTATCTCCTCACCAGTTATATGTTAACAACCCTAGGGACTTCACGTCCCTTAGATGCTTCCCCTTCTCAGGCCTGGCCTTGCCGCTTGAGATTCTTGCCTCTACCATTTTTTTCTGTAAAGGTTACTCATACATAATATCTCCCCATATTTTGTGCACTGATTTTAGAAGAAGAGGCATAATATGTCAAACTCTGCTGGCTTTCATTTTTCCATCTCACATATCCAAGTTCGTGCATAGAATTTATGTTATTTTGGGCTGGAGGGGGGTGTAGCTCAGTTGATGGACTTACCTAGCATGCTCGAGGCCCTGGGTTCAATTCCCAGCTGTGCATTATCTGGCCATGGTGGTGCATGCCTGTTAGCCCAGAGATCAGGAGTTCGAGGTCTTCCTTAGCTACACAGGGGTTTGAAGCTACACGAGACGCTGTCTCAATTGTTTCTCCTCCAAGTTGACAGTTTGCTGTTGTTGTCTTCGTGGTGCTGAGGACCAGATGCAGGGCCTCATGTATGTCAGGTCATTCCGCTGCCATTGAGCTATAAACTCCAGCCTGGTTTAAACTGTTTGAAAAGTGGTACTGTTTGCTGCAGAAGAGGCATAGCGTCTCGACAGTGCTCGATTGCTGCTTGTATTAATTTATATTAACATTCTTTGGCCATTAAGACATTTTCAATTGTGTGTGTGTGTATGTGTGTGTGTGTCCAGTGCTATGGCACACATAGTCAGACGACAGCTTGTGGATGTCCACCACTATGTAAGGTTTTTTTTTTTTAAAAGATTTATTTACTATTATGTACACAGTTTTCTGTCTGCACGTATGCCTGCAGGCCAAAGAGGGCACCAGATCTCATATAACGGATGGTTGTGAGCCACCATGTGGTTGCTGGGAATTGAACTCAGAACCTCTGGAAGAACAGCCAGTGCTCTTAACCTCTGAGCCATCTCTCCAGCCCCTGGGTTCCTAAGATTTAACTTATGTTTGCAGTCTTGGTGCTGGCCTCTTTACCCACTGAACCATCTGCGTTACTCATAGCCCCTCTTTGGCCATTTTAATGGTAGGTGTTTGTCATTTTCTTGCTGATCCTAAGACACTTTGAATATTAAAGATGGAAGTCCCTCGATTTATTCATTAGTTTTTATGCGTATGGGTGGGTACCTTGCCCGAATTCGTGTGTATGTACCACATGTGTGCCTGGTGTCTGTGGAGGCCAAAAGAGGGTGACGGGATCCCCTGAAACTGGAGTTACAGGCGGTCGTGAGCCACCATGTGGGTGCTGGGATCTGAACCTGGGTTCCCTGGAAGAGCACACAGTGCTCTTAACTGCTGAGCCAGCCCTTAGCTCCAAGTTCTTTATTTTAAATGTTGAATTCTGTTTTTCCTTTACAGAAAAGGTGTGTGGAAGGCAGAACTAGATTGAAGATGGTAACGGGGCCAGGGCTGGATAAGTGGTAGACCATGTGCCTAGAGAGCATGAAGCCAAGGGTTTCAGCCCGAGGTGGGGCAGGGGGCTGAGACTGTTCTGAGAATTTATATCTGTTTTTCAGATCATTATGTAGAAGTTCTGGAATGCAAGATTCAGTGTGAGGAGAACCTCACCCCAGTCATAGGAGGCTATCGCGTGGAGAAATTCGTGGCTACCATGTACCACTATTTGCAGTTTGCTTATTATAAGTGTAAGTAACCCCATTCAGGACCTTGCATGAGGTCCCAAGACTTTCCTGTTAGCTATGGTGGCTGAGAAGGCCCATCAAAGCCTCGTTCGTGCTGTCCACCAAGAGGCCTTGCGGCCCCTTGGTTAGAGCAGAGATCCTGAGCTGCAGGGCTTGACTCCACGTTTTGCCTCCTGTTCCCTGGGAAATCTTTGCAAAAATTAACATTTATTGAACGTAGTTGTAATTTACATTTGAAACCTTTACCTGCCACACAGACTGTGCGAGGGGAAAGAGCCTTGAAGTTCAGGTTTTAAAGTTGTCATTGTAGAAATCAGCCACCAGGAGGCACAATTGAGTCATCTACAGCTGAGTCCATTCCCTGCCAACTAGAGTTTTGTTGCATAATATGGTATGAAGGTTAGAAGTGGCTGTGGAAGGTGCCTGAATAAATGCCAGGGGATTGTGCCCCATTTCTTCTTTGCCTGACTCCCCTTCCTCCCAAGACAAATGCCACCCTGCAGAGTCCCCATGTTGTTGTTGATGTAGGGGTGCAGTTCTAAGCAGGGGGCTGGAGCAGGTTCAGAAGCCGTGTACCCAGGAGATGGCAGGACAAGGTAACTCTTGCAGTCCCGAGGGCCTACCATGGTTTATCTTGTTGGTTTCTGTAGTTTGGAGTCTTTATGTTATTTATTTAGAAACTGAGTCTCATGTAGCTCAGGCTGGCCTCAAACTCACTCTGTTGCCAAGGATGACCTTGTATCTCCAGTGCCAGGTGTGCCATTATGTGTGGTTTAAGGAGAGCTGGGGATGAAAGCCAGCCAGGGCTTCGTGGATGCTCGGCAGGCCCTATACCACCTGAGCTACATCCTTAGCCCTTCTTTATGTCTTCCATATTTGGTTTGGTTGGGGGAGGGCCCACCTCAACCTCCTCTGGGTATTATTGTCTTAGCCTGATGGGACCCAGGAACTGCAGCCTGCAGGGGGAAGCTTGTAGTTGAACAGCCTCTGTCTTCCTCAGTCCCAATGTGGCCCAGGCCTCAAGACCTGCCTCCTGTGACCGGCTCTGATTGTCTGAAGCCCGCTGAGCCGGCACAGCCCAACGGTTGTGGAGGTCTCTACCCACTTTAGCCTGTGCACTGCCCACCTTCTGAGGTCAAGGTTTTTCTAGAGGAAGGGCTGGAGGAAAAGCCTTAGGCGTGGTCTTCTCCTGGAGGAAGGTCAAGCTTCTGCCTTGGGTGAGGGGTAGCCCTGGAGTTGCAGGGCCTGGGTTGCCCACCCACCCAGCCTCTTCTCTCTGGTTCCAGTGAATGACCTGAAGAACGCGGCCCCCTGTGCCGTCAGCTACCTGCTGTTCGACAAGGATGACAAGGTCATGCAGCAGAACCTGGTCTACTATCAGTACCACAGGGACAAGTGGGGCCTCTCAGACGAGCATTTCCAGCCCAGACCCGTGAGTGTCCCACACTGGGTTCCTCTTGTTCCTTCCTCCTTCCCGCCTTCAGGAGACTTCTGAAATGAAGGAACTCTCCCCGTTTCTGGTCACTGTTGGTTCCTCCTTGAATCAGGCCCTGACTCTGTAGCTCTGGCTGACCCAGAAGTCACTGTGTAGACCGGGCTGGCCTTGAACTTGCAGAGACCCACACTGCCCATCACACCCTGCTTAATTCTTCTCTCATATTTTTATTTATTTATTGTGTGTATGCGTGTGAGCCTGCACATGCAACAGCATGCATGTGGGGGTTAGAGAACAAATAAGAGAATCAGGTCTCTCCTTCTACACTGTGGGTCCGGCTCTCACACGGGAAATCTGGTGGTCTGACAGGTCTCTCTTTGTCCGAACAGGAAGCAGTTCAGTTCGTTAATGTGACTATGCTGCAGAAGGAACTGTACAGCTTTGCTCAGGAACACCTAATGGATGACGATGAGGTAAGCGTCCGTGCTCTGCACGCGTCTGCCTGACAGAAGGCATGACTCATGTCTCTACTGAGTCCTCCCCCAAATAAGAAACAGAAGGGGCCCTCGAGGAAACATTTGCTGTGGGGGTTTTAATGAAAGCCAGTGCTCTGGTATGGAAAAGTCCAGCTTTCTAGGAAGCCCAAGCTGGACCACTGCATCTTCTGTGTGGAGATGTGTTTGGAATATGCCCCAGGTGTCTATGTGTTTGTGTGTCTGTGTCTGTGTCTGTGTCTGTGTCTGTGTCTGTGTGTGTGTCTGTGTCTGTGTCTGTGTCTGTGTCTGTGTCTGTGTCCGTGTCGAGAGAGAGAGAGAGAGAGAGAGAGAGAGAGAGAGAGAGAGAGACAGGTTGGGGGCACTTGTCACTGTGCATGTGTGAGGTCAGAGGACAGCCCTGTGGAGTCAGTTCCCTCCTTCTGCCTCTGTGCGTTTCAGGGATTAAATTCAGGTCACCAGACTTGCAGGGCAATTGCTTTGCCCACTGAGCCATCTTGCTGGCCCCTCCACCTTATATTCTGAAGCAGAGTCTCTGGCAGAACCTGGCGTCTATTCATTCAGCTGGAGTGACTGGGAAGCAAGCTCCCGGATCCTCCTTCCTCTGTCTTCCTCCCCAGTGTCGAGGTGACAGACATGTGTCACAGCACCAGTGTGGGGGTCAGAGGACAGCTTGAGGGAGTTGGTTCCCTCCTTCCATCATTCAGGTGCCAGGGCTTGCTCTCCTGTCTCAGGCGCCATAGCAAGCACCTTTACCCCCGAGCCCCGTGTAGGTCCTCACACCATCATTTCCTAATGAGTGTGGTGAGTTTGACTTGTTCTGCATGCTGGAGACTCTTGAATCCAGTTCCATTTCCTACAGATTATAATTCTGCCCTTACTGCTAACAGTTCATCTTTTTCTGGAAGCCCGTTTCCTGACTGGATCTCCCTCAGCCAGCCCCTTTTTTGTTTGAGGTGTTTTGTGTTTTGAGACAGTGTCTCATGTAGCACAGGCTGGCCTCCAGCTTGCAGTGTAGTTGAAGATGGCCCTGAAGTCCTGATCCTCCTGCTGGGACCTCTCAAGCCCTGGCCTTGCAGATATATATGCACCACCATGCCCAGTGTCAACTCGGGGCTTGACACCTGCCAGGCGCTCACTCTACCTACTGTATGGTAGATATTTCCTGACTGTTCCCTCCTTGATGCGTCCTGACTTTGAGTGGAGGGGCAGCCGGACATGGAGAAGCCATCCGTGGATATCCCTAATTATTTATTTAGAGAGGTATGGAACTGGAAAATGCTTTGTAAGAAAACTGGGAACCTGCTGGGTTTGGAGCCAGAAGAGGTATGGGGCTTGTTCTGCCCTGGCCCTTCTCATCCTGGGGGAGACTGGAGGCTGGGACATTCTGAGAGATGCTGGGCCAGGCCCAGAGGCTCTAAGCTGTGTCCCCCCACTCCCCCTGCCCCTCTTCCTACCACTCCAGCTGTGGAGGACACAGCTCTGAGGAAGACAGGACCAGGGGAGTTTCACCATACTGATTCACGTGGCCACTGCCACTAAGGAGAAAGCGCTAGCCTTTTGTGAGACAGGAGTGACCATAAGTTGTGAGAATGGAACGCCAGTTGGGTATGAACGTGCTGTGCAAGTGAGGGAGTGTAGCCTTTGCCTGCAATGCACAAAGCCCTGGGCTCAGTCCCCAGGGCTGCTAAAGAAATAAGTGATCACAGGCCTGTGCCTTAGATTGGGTCTCATTGGAGAGCCCCAGGGATGCTCTCAGAGCGAGTTTGGCTGTGGTGGTTTGGGAAGTGTAGGTTGCTGGTCAAAGCAGAAAGTTCCAGAAAAATGGGTTCCTGAGGCAGAACTAAGGGACCAGGAGGGAGATGGAAGGATGCCCTGAGCAGGGAGCCGTGTGGAGCATTTCAGGGTGGTGGCCAGACCACCTACATGACATGGGTCATCTCTGGGATGGCAGGTCACTTGATGCTGAGTCCACAGGGGGTAGAAGACGAGGTTCTGTTCCCAGGGAGAGAGGAATCAGGTCATCTGGGCTCCGAGCCAGTAGGGAACTTGCTTCGCTCAGAGCAGACAGCCTGTGGTGGCCTCTTGGATGCCTTTCATGCCATGTGGCTGCCTAACTGATGTCTGCTGTCTCTTCCAGGGAGAGGTTGTGGAGTATGTGGATGACCTGTTAGAGATGGAAGAGGCTGGCTAGCCTGCAGCAACTGAAGAGACTTCTCGTCAGTGTTCCTTTTTCCTCGAGTGCCTGGGTTGCTGATACCTCAAAGTCTTCCCTTTTTAAGGGAAAGGGAAGCCACCATCTCTCTTACTGTGGGGAGCAGGGTCCAGCCGGCCCTCCCTGTGTTCACACCTGTCTACCACCTTCCCACCTCTCTGTACTCACGCTCGTCTTCATGGTCCCCGGCCATTTTCCTCTTGTTCACACCCGTCTTCCATCCACACACGCGCCTTCCCGCCATCCCAAATCTGTCGTCCCCATGTTCACATTTGTCTTCCATATGACCCCACCTGTCTCCCCCATGTTCAGAAAGACATGGTCTTCTGTGGTCTGTTTTTTTTAATCCCTGAAAGAAAAATCAGTATTATTTTTAAAGTAAGAAAAACACTAAAAGATGATAAATATATTTGAAGAAGTCTTTGGTTTCTAGACTCCCGTCTCCTTCCCGGCTCTTGTGGAAGACGAAAGTCAGCGGAAGATAAAGGCTAAACTGCTTGGGGCCTCGTGATGGTCTTCACTTGGTCTGACCCAAGCTATCCCCGTCGCCACTGAGGAACCAACCGAGTGAATGTGCACAGCACCCAAAGGAGGCCTAGGCCCAGTTCCTTTGAGTCCTCAGACTACAGTGGGCTACAGTGCCCACTTACAAGCCTCCGAGTTAGACATGGATGCAAGCCAGGGCCAGGCTCTAGTTTTATTTATTCGTCTAAGGTGTTGAGTTCCTGTCCCCGCATTGGGCATTTAACCGACAGCAGAGGATAACGGAAAGAAAAGGAAAACCTGCTTGTGCTAGTTTCTGGTCTGGCAGCTGTGACAACACACCTCACTTCCGGAGGGTTTGCTCTGTCCTGCAGTTGGAGGGTGGACTCCATCAGGGCGGGGCAGCCATAGCGGCAGAAGCTCGAGACAGCTGGTCACGTGGCCATGTTGCATCTGCAGGCAGTGAACGCCGGTGCTTAGCTCATGTCTTCCGTGGCTGTCCTAGAACTCGCTCTGTAGGCCAGCTTGGCCTCGAACTCGGATCTGCCTGCCCCGCCTCCCAAGTGCTGGCATCAAAGGCAAGCGCCACCACCACCAGGCTTACTTCATCTTTTTATTATGTTGGGATCCAGCCCCACGAGTGGCGCTGCCCCCAGTTAGGCTGGATCCTCCCGCCTCAGGTGATGTAATCTAGGAACTCCTTCACAGACAGCCCAGAAACTCTTCTCGCGGGTGATTCTGGATCCCGTCAGGTTGACATTCGACGTTAACCACTATGCTGCTCTCGCAGTTTAGAATTTGCAGGAAGAAGCTGGGCATTGGTGACGCACGCCTTTAACCCCTGCACTCGGGAGACAGAGGCAGGCGGATCTCTGTGAGTTCGAGGCCAGCCTGGTCTCCAGAGAGAGTTCCAGGACAGCCTCCAAAGCTACACAGAGAAACTCTTGTCTCGGGGGAAAAAAAAAAAAAAAAGAATTTGCAGGAAGAGGGACATTCTTGGGTTTGTGGGAGCCAGTGCTTCTCGATGTAGGATGCTGACTGGAGGAAAATGAAACGGGAGAGCAGGGGGAAGTGAGAGCAGGCTGACTGAGGTGACGCTGAAGCCAAGGCTTTGAGGCACCAAGGTCTCAGGTGTAGGAGGAACGGTGGCGGAGTGTCTGGAAGGAGGGGCACTGCTGTCCGTGTGATCGGGACTTGGCAGGGGGCCTGCAGAGAGACATGGCCGGGAACAAAGGAGGAAAGGCTAGGCAGGCAGGTGGACCGGATGGGCCAGGGACTATGGTAGAATATTTTAAGGTGTGTTACTTTTGTCTGTTGCATTTGTTTAACTCTGTGAAGCTGTGTTACTTTGCCTGCTAAAACACCTGATGGGCTAATAGAGCGGTCAGTGGCCAAGAGCGAGGCAGGAGCACGGATAGGCGAGGTTGGCTGGCAGAGAGAATAAACAGGAGAAACGAGGAGGAGGAGGGGGATGTCAGCTATCCACCACCCCACCAGTCCCGGGCATTGGAAAAGTGAGATAGACAGCAGTAATAAAAGGAAAAAGCCAGAGGCAAAAGGTAGTCGGGGATAATTTAAGAAAAGTTGGCAAGAAACAAGCCATGTTAAGGCCGGGCATTATTCCTAACTAAGAATAAACCTCCTTGAGTGAGTTATTTGGGAGCTGGGTGGTGTGCCCCCCAAAAAGTGAAAGTAAAACATACTGCAAGGGATAAAGGAAGGAAGCCTGGGCAGTGTGTGGGCTGGAGACTGATGACCAGGGTCCTGATAGTGTCAGGCCTTCGCTTGCACTGAAGGGTGGAAACAGTCAGTGCGGGTTTGCACGGAGGAGTCAGCTGACTTCACAGTGGTCACTCCCACTGCCCTGCGGTGGGGGCCTGAGCAGAAGCGTGGGAACTCAGTGCTGTGAGTGGGTGGTGGCAGGGTCAGTACCACAGCGACAGCTATGCCAGGGAGGAGTCAGATCCTAGATGGAATTTGAGAGCACAAGCCATGGGAGTTGATAATAGGGCATGTGTAGAGCGTAAGAGCCTGAGAGGGCTTAAAGATGGCGTCCAAGCTTGGGCCTGAATGTTGAGAAGGATGAAGCTCTCACTGGCCAACACAGGCAAGATGGCGAGAAGTTGATTTTGTCAACCTGACAGGATTTAGAGTCACCTAGGAGACAGGCCTCTAGGCATGCCTGTAAGGTAGGTTCTGTGGGTAAACTGAGGTAGAAAGACCCACCCCATCTGTGCACGGCCCCCTCCTGGGCTGAGGCCAGGGACTGAAGAAAGGGAGAGAGTGAGCTGGGTACCAGTGCTCATCTCTCTGCTTCCTGAGCTAATTGGATGTGACCAGCTGCTGCCTCCCACAGTGGAATGTGCCTTCCTGAACTGTAAGTGGAAATAAACCCTTTCCCCCTAAATTGCTTCTTGTCACAGCCCCAGGGAAGTATCTAATGACACTAGTGGGTGGGGAAAGGATCTGGCACAGGACTGGTGGCCTGGCGTTAGACTAGAGGCTCAGGCTACAAATAAAATCGGAATACTCAGGACAGAGCCTGGGGCGGGGATCCGAGCAACATGGTTTTTCTTTTTAATGTCTGTGAATGTGTGTGGGCACATGCGTACTTCAGTAAGCATGGGAAGGTCAAAGGACAACATTGGGTGTAGACCTCAACATCCATCTGGTCCACTGCTATGTAGTCCAGCATGGCTGACCCAGAGTGGGCCCCGAGTGTCTTCTGCCCCTGCCTTCTTTCCCACTATAGGAATACTGGGGTTACAGATGTGATACTGGGGGTTTGAACTCGGGTCCCTATCATTGTGAGGCAAGTACTCTACCCACTGACCATCCCCTTCGCCCCACAGATGGTTTCTTACTGGGTGCTCTCAGGGACCCCGGGACACTTATTGGCAACCTTTAATGGCTAGTGACTGTTACTAAGGGTTGTTCTCTTGAAGAGAAGCCACGGGGCTGCCATAGCCAGCATGCCTGGGGCCAGGGTTCTGTGAGTGACTGGGACCACTGACTGGTGAGGGCCAGGATGTCAGTGGCACACGAAGCCATCAGTGAGAGAGGGATGTGTATGATGAGAGGCTGCCATGGGGAGCCGAGAACAGAGCTCAGGACTCTCCAGGAGATGAGGACGGACCAGAGGAGCTAGCCTTGGGCCAGAGAAGGCCAGGGGGATGTGGGGCCCTAGAACCTGAGCGCTCTTTATTCTTCTCTGTAAGCTACTTGTCTGGTTTGGGAGCCTGCACGGGTAAAAGTGAGCACAGCATTTGGGAGATGACCATTATGGATTGAAAACAAACACAAAAGTCTCTGCGTTTTGGTGGTTCAGTGAGTGCAGGAAACCCATACATGGGTGGGCATGTTAGCTCAGGTGGTGAAGTGCTTGGTGACTGGAGTTCCAGTCCCCAGAACCCGTCTTAGAACAACAGCAGCTGGCAAGATAGCTCAGTAGGGAAAGGTGGCTGCCACTAAGCCTGACAACCTGAGTTCAGTTCCCCGGACACACATGATAGGTGGTTCGAACCGACTGCTACAGGCCACCCTTTGGCCCTCACCTGCAACACACATTACTAAATAAAGGTTAAAGACAAAAAGCTGGGCATGGAGGTGGCTGGGAACAGTCCCACTCCTGAAGGCCAGTGAGAGACCTTCTTTATTGAACCAATCACAGTGTACAAATGTCCTTCTCAGTGACCAGTGACTTCTAACTAGAGCAGATGGCTCTTTCTCACCAATCCTAATTAGTATTAACTGCCAACCTGACACAGTCTAGGATCACCTGGAAAGGAGTCTCCATTGAGTAATTATCCTGATTAAGTTGCTCTGTGGGGCCTTGTCTTTTTTTTTTTTTTTTTAGGTTTACTTTAATGTGTATAGGTGTGTCATAGTTAGGGTTTCTATTGCTATGGAGTCACCATGACCATTGTGGTGGGTGGCTTATAGTTTTAGTCCATTATCATCATGGAGGGCAGCAAGGCAGCATGTAGACAGACATGGCGCTGGAGAAGGAGCTGAGAGTTCTACATCTTTACAGGCAACAGGAAGTGGTCTGAGACACTGGGCATGGCTTGAGAGTATGAGACCTCAAGCCCCGCCTCCATAGAGGCACTCTTCCTCCAACAAGGCCATGCCCACTCCAGTAAAGCCACACCTCCTAACAGTACCACTCCCTTTGGGGGCATTTTCTTTGAAACCACCACAAGATGTTTTGCCTTTGAGTATGTCTGTGTGCATACCTAGGACCTAAGGAGGCCAGAAGAACCCCTGGAACTGGAATCACAGACAGTTTTGAGCCACCACATAGGTGCTTGGAATAGAACCTGTGTCCTCTGGAAAAGCATCCAGTGCTCTTGACCGCTGAGCCATCTCTCCCATCCTGAAGGATTGTCTTGATTATTTTAATTGATGTAGGTGGGTCCAGCCCACTGTGGGTGAGCCATTTCCTGGGCAGGTGGTCCTGGGCTGTATCAGAAAACTAATCAAGCATGAGCCGGTGAGTGGGCCAGCAGGCAGTGATTCTCAGTGATTCCTGCCTTCCGGTTCTTGCTTGAGTTCCCGCCCCGAATTCTATCAATGCTGGCTGGTAAGAACATCACAGAGTAATGGATTCCCTTTTCTCACCTTGCCTCACCCGTCATTCTACCAGAGAAACTTCATCGTTCAGAGAACTGGGGATGAGAGCCAGGAGGTGCAGTCATGGGCTGCACACCACCCCAGAGCTCGAGTCTGCGCAGAGACTCCGCTGGTGGCTGGGTTTGTTTTAAACCTGTGGTTTTCTTTCCAGCCATGTGATAAGGGTGTGTGTGTGTGTGTGTGTGTGTGTGTGACATCTGGAGGTGCTCACTCATCTCCGTGGCCCTTAAAGTGGCCACCTGGGCCTTGTCCTTGGAGTCAGGGTGATATGGTGGGTTGGGTTGGAACCCTTAGAAGCTGGCCTCTCATCC